GCATGGGGCTGAGGGAAATCTGGTTAAAAAAAAAAAAAAATTAGAACACTCTTGAGGTCATTTCCCTAGAGAGAAGCAGAGCTCTGAAGGGAGTAAGTGTAAAGAACAGGCTCAGAATTTGCTGGAAAGAGTAACTTCCTGTCCTCTCTGAGAACTGCCCTGTTCTTGCAGTTGCTCCTAGAGAGGTGACTGGCTCCTTTTTGGTGACTTTACTGGCCCCAAATTCTTGAAGTACCTACACCTGTGAGCACTTTGCTCCTYTAACAATGATGTCAGTGAATTTTTRAAAATAGTACTGAAGGCCCTAAAAGAGAATACATTCTGAAGTTCCAACAGGAAGAAAAAGCAGGAAACGAGGTGGGGAGTCTAGCTCTCCCCAAGTATGCATGAATTCTGAGCTGGAAGGTTCCCCTTGATTGGCAATTTTTTTCTTTTAAGAGAGAGAGAGAATTTTAATATTTATTTTTTTAAAGTTTTCGKCGGACACAACATCTTTGTCTTTGTATGTGCTGCTGAGGATCCAACCCGGGCCGCACACATGCCAGATGAGGGCGCTACCGCTTGAGCCACATCCCCAGATTGTTTGGTAATGGTTTTACTGAAAGAATTAGCTTATGATTTGCTAATGCCTTTGCTCTTGAAGCCATGCTATCCGCCTATCGGATTGCTTCTTTGAAAGACTGGGAAAATGCTAAGTGGAAACGCCAGCCTTGGGACAGAAATCTCCATGAGGACTTTTTAAAGGGGGAACTAGAACAAAACTAGACAGGACAAAACAAAAGCATGACATTAGCATCATTGTAAAGAGCTAAGATATTTGCAAATACTGTAGCTTGGCTTGGTGCTTGCCCCCACCACCATTTTTTTTTTTTTTTTTTGGTAAAAATTGTAAGAGCAGAGAATGGAAAACATTCACAAATAGGATAATAACAACCCATGCTTCCCTTTTAATTATTAACGGTTTGTACATTAAAACTCRGAGGCCCCAAGGCATCTATTTTGAAGCACAGTAGCTATGTGTGATATAAGCCAGTTTTGCAACATTAAATTCATGGAAAGTAAGAATTAGGAAAAGGGTTCTGTGTGGTGGGCCCCCCATGGGCTGTGTGAGAGCTGTGCGCATTCTGAGCGCATGTGCAGACTGGACTGTTGCTGCTCTGTCTGGGCTGAGCACATCCGTGTCCTTTTCACTCCTTTGATCCCACAGCACCTGAGATGGGTGTGACTTGCCAAGATGTCAGTCAATCTACTGACCACAAGAGATCACGAACCTAGACTCAACCCCCTGAAACCGGACCCCTTGCCTCATTTGGGTGGAACTTTCTCCAGTGACTTCCCCTCGGTGAATAGGATGGTTTCCGGCGTGTGTCCTCTCTCTCGTCTGTCTCTCTTTCTTTCCTTGTGGGAACTGGGGCTGAGGAGCCATCACTGGACCCTAAGAAAAAGGTACTTTCTGTCTGTGTGTGATTATTTCGTTCCAACCCAAATGCACCTGGAATGACCCTGAATGATTTAGTCGCATGTCGCCGCAGTTGTGTTGAAGCCAATGCAATTCTCCCCAAATAAAAGTGGAACCAAGCTATCCAGTGGCTCTCTGGCTCTAAACCAATATTGATAATTCATCTGATCTTAATAAATTGGTATCATAGTGATCTTGATGGYCACATCTGAGTACAATCTAGCCCGCCTTCATTTTTACGATATTGGTCAATAATATTCCAAATTTCTTAAAATAGTGCTGCTGACCACTGCCCTTTAACACGTAATTCCCTTCTATGAAAAGATACCAATGTGGCAACTTAACAGATCATCAACAGATCTTAATTCTTCTTCTGACACTTATCATCTCACTTTTATAGTTCATTTTCCTGATGGCTACTGGCTAAGATTCATTATTCGGAACAATTTGCAAGTTGGAGAGTCTCACTGGAGGCTGTGGTCTCAAGAAAGTAACAAATCTTGCCTCTACACATTCCTTTGCTCTGGAGCCTCTTGGTTATTTTTTTAAAACCTCATCTTTTAGTTCCCCTCAGGGATTCTAATGAAGATATCAGCCATCTGTTAAGTAAAGGGACTAAGGAATTGGAGCACAAAAATATCAACACCAGGAACAATCTGTATATTTGTTTGTRGTTGATGAGCACCAGCCAACTGCAAAATAATGAAGAACTACACTAAATGTTTCACTTTTTGCCCCTAAAAAAAATGACTTATGTACAAACCATATCCAAAAATAAAGAAAATTTTAACCTGAAATTTGTTTTGTGTTTCCTTTAAATTTATTTACTAGTTCTAAGTGGAGGTATCTTACTCTAAATGTCAACATATGTCTATGAATATTCATGAAAATTTTGGTTGTATAACATGGTTATGTCTTGATCACTATTAACTAAATGACTATGTTGTATTCCAGTTTTTCTGGGATGCTGCATGAACCTTTGGATAAATGTGCTACTATTGGTGGACTTTGTTCACCTCTCTGAATCTAGCAATGTCTCAACTGAAGATTCTCAACCAAAGCTCTTAGCCCCTTAAGACAAAGACTTTTTTTTTTGCAAACAGGATTTTATCTGGCAAGAGAGGAGTAGAGAATAGTCACTCCTTTGTCATGCCATCTCTCTCTGGGTGAACTTCTTGGCTCAGGATGAACAATTTGTGCACATTACAGTTAACACTCAGGCCACAAAGTATATTCAAACCACTGAAAATGAAGTAATTGGACCTATTTAAATTTTTCACCATCTGGACAAACAACACCCAAGGGCCAAGACTGTTACCTAAGAAAATTTCTAAGTGCATTACCCAAGTCTGAGAGGCAACAGGTAGGTGGATTTTGCGCCAATTAGAAAGTGTTATGATTGGCACATGGCTCTGAAACTCCAAAATTGTGGTTTAATGGAAATGCTGGCTGTTATCCCTCAAGTACATTTCAAGGAATCACAAAACTTTAGAATCAGAAGCGAGTGAATGGAAGTTCTCATCCATGTGGAACTCAGAAGATTAGGTGRTAACACAAGGACTTTTGCAGGTGTCCCAGTTTTTAATCCAGAGCCCCTTCCGCAACAGGCCCCAACATCCTTCAGGACCTGATGGAACATAACAGATCAGGTTTCACTTGACAAGGTCTGGCTCAGCTGCTGGGTAGGGCAACACTGACAAGCGACAGGCACGGGGAGTCCAGATATCTACAGGTCCTGGAAATAGCCAGCCCACTAGTTTAAAGTGTAGGAGTCAGAGCAGCAATCTACAATCTTGCAAAAATTAAAAAATTTTAAAAAAATCACATCTGACCCACCTCAAGGGGTGGGTGAAAGAGAATAGCATTTTGGGTTCTGTGAGCCTCTGGAACTGTTTCCTGAATGTTTGGGGTTTGGGCTCACAGTACACACTTTGCCCCAGGCTGTTCTTCCTTAATTTTTAGGCCCAAGTGTATTTTAAGGTAAATTGATCCCACATGCTTCTGATTCACTTACCCTGAACTCATCCGCTGGTGTTTTGAAAGAGCAATCTGAGGTCCAAGAAGCCTTCCGAGCCTGCTYCAGGAAGGCTCTCTGTGTCCTTTTTCTTAGAAGTAAGAAGCCACATTTGAACGTTAACAAKTAAAAATGCAAGCCCTAGGGACATGGGTCTGGTTCCAAATGTGGCACCTCAGAAACCAATGGGTTCCTCAAACCACCAAGACAAATCTTTCTGGCCTTCTYTGTCAGAAGGGACAGGAACCAACCCGTGGGCCATGTGGAGATGTTCTCTGGCTGCAGAGCTCCCAGAAGCCTCTGCATCTCCACCCCAGCTAACACCTCAGTCTCCCCACACAGGGGTGCCCCCAGTCAGCTAGTAGTGCCGTCTGGCCTTTGCCCTGCAGAGAGCCCAACTGAGGCCATGGGCTGGAAAGTCTAAAGAAATTTGTCCCTTTTCTCCAAGCTTCTAAACTTGTGCACCATCTGTGTGACTATTACTGTTAGCATCGCCTTAGCCTGAGCCTGACTGGAGCAGCACCACAGGCAGGTTTAGATGTGCGTAAAAAAAAAAAAAAAAAAAACCAACCAGAGCCATAAGTGAGGTTAGGTGTGTGGCGGGGGTGGGGACACGCTCTGGGTGAGGAAGGCAGGCCAGCAGCTGCTGAGCTGCTATGAGGAGCTGAACCTGCTATCTCCCTTCACTGGAGCACTTGATGACTAAGGGATGGGCTCCTGAATTGCCTACTAGCCCTGGGTCTGGAGGCCTGTAATGAATACACTGCCAGCCCAGAGGATGGCAGCATCCAGACTCAGCCTTGGCTACCAAGGAGCCTCCAGTCCATTCCTGGGATGGGCCATGAAGGCAGTTGCCCCAACCTGTTATCCAACCTGAGCCTGCTGCTGTTGATGCTCTTTGCCCTGGCCCTGGGGTTCCAAGGCTTGAGGGAGATCCAGAGTCCCTGGTCGCGGGAAGCGTGATGAATCCTACAGGAACTGCAAAGATGCTGAGAGATGGTGGCTGGGACATGGGCCACATTTGTCCACTTCACTTTATAGGGGTTCTAACAATCCATTCTCAACTCTGGCTATTCATTAGAGTTTAAAAAACTTCAGATGCCTGTGCCTTACCTAAGACCAGCAACATCAAATTCTCTGGGGTGAGTCACAGGGAATTGGGTTTTTCTTCAAAGTTCCACCATTATCCTTCTTTATAGCATGGTTGAGGGCCACTAGTTTAAAGTGACTTGAGTACATTACTGTCTTGGGAGGGTACCCCAAATAGTCCACAAAACAGCAACCGTCAGTGGTTTTTCAATTGCATCAAACAGGACTCGGGTTGATGCTTGCTCCTAGTTTCTCTACAACCCAAATTTCACTGGCTCCTTCTGTCGACTTGCCCCAGTCATGGATGATGGTCCAGCCCTCTCCCAGCACACAATAAATAGGTGCAAACAGAACTAGAACCCACCCCAAGTCCTTAGTATCAAATGAGCCAAACACCAGATCTCTTCAAATATTTAATCATTTTGGAGACTTCTGTCTTCTAACCCAGTTAGGTCAAAATTCTAAAGAAAGCATGATTAAGGGGTCCTTAAAAACAAAACAAAACAAACAAAACAGAAAAATAAAAACAACATTGGCTGATGTGGACAGGAGGCCGGGATTTGGAAGACAGAACATAGTATGTATCTGAGGTCTTTTGTAGGAATTCTACCTCTTATTAAAAAAAAAATACTCAAAATGAACAAGAAAGAATTAAACAGTTATACAAATTTAAGAACAACTAAAACTTCTTTTATGGCTGAAAATACCAGACGTGGTTTTGAAATAGACTCTWTAAAAGCCCTTAGATCCTGCTGTGGTTTGTTTCCATAGCCTTCTTAGGACATGCAAAAAGCAAACTAGCTATACCCAGCATCCCCACAAGCTCTCTCAGGGCCTTGGCAAAGCAGCAATGCAGCAAGAGAAAGAAGGAAGGAACGGAAGAGGGAAGAGAAGCTGTTCACAGTCTTCGAACATAGACTCAGACCCCAACCTAATCTAGTTTCTTTGAAAAAGATGGAAATCAACGGAAGGCCTTGAAGAATCACCAATGACCTCACATCAGGGGGCCAATGAGAATGCGTTTCAATAACTGCATCATAGGAAGAGGGGTGGGATGTCCTTCTGAGTGACAGGTCTGCAATAGGACTCGGGGAGCCAACTCCTCTGGGAAACGTTCAGCAGGAAAGGTGCAACRTTTGCTCGCTCTCGTTCTTTCTCCTGTTTCCTCTCTTCCCCTGTCCCTTGGTGCTGGTGAGAGGCAGTGTCAGAGGCTGCAGCCCTGGGCTCAGAAGGGGTACTGTGACACATAAATCCGCAGTCGGATCACAGAGCTGCCTCTGAAGTTGATGACGGTGTTGACAGTGATCATCTCCAAGTCCAGCTGGATGTCTCGGGGCCCTTTGATGGGGCGTGTCATCACCAGGGTGGCACTGATGGGGCCCGTTTGCTGTAGACAGACCAGGGGACACTAGTTAGAGAAGGTATGATATAAGCAGAAGGCCAGCTAGTGGCTCTGCAGCCTGAAGCAGGGTGCTTCCCCCTTGCCCACGTCAACAACCTGATGACCTCAGTGCCATGCCTATCCCCAGCTTTGCCCATTCTCCACCTGGCTCTTCAGATCTCATCTAAAGGTCACTTCCTAAAAGGAGTTTTCCTGATTCCCCAGTCTAAGTCAGGTCCCCCAGCTGCATAGGATGGAGAMATTTGTTACTGAGTGTATTTGTGCACGCTAGCTCCTTGGTCCATGTCTGATGTCTAAACCCCGCTAGACACTGAGAACCCCCTCAGAGCTCAACATGTGCCTTGAACACAGCAGGTGTTCAGAAAACACAGTTAGTCTTCTGTATCTGYGGGTTTGCATCCTTGGATTCAACCAACCACKGACCAAGAGTATTCAGAAAAAATTCTCTGCATCTGTATTGAACATGTATAGATATTTTTCCTTCTCATTTTCCCCTAAACAATACAGTATAGAGATTACTTACATAGCATTTGCATTCTGTCCTACATTATAAGTCATCCACGTGTGAATTAAAGTATATGGGAGGATGGGGCTGGGGCTGAGGCTCAGCGATAGAGCACTCGCCTAGTACATGTGAGGCCCTGGGTTCGATCCTCAGCACCACATAACAATAAATAAATACAATAAAGGTATTGTGTCCAACTACAACTAAAAGATAAATATCTTTTTAAAAATACAGTATACGGGAGGATGAACATCAGTGGATTTTGGTGTCCTGGGGGTCCTGGAACCAGCTCCTTGCAGATACCAAGGCATGAGCTATTACTTGAGTGAATGAACAAATCATTGATTGAACTTCCTGCAAGACTTAGGGACGTCGCTTCATCTCTCTGGGACTCATTTCTAAAATGAGGGCACAGACCAGGTCAATAATTTCCAAACAAATTCCCATTTGCAAAAGCACCTAAGATACTTTTTYAAAACTAACACCTGTTCCAGGGGCCCGGTCTAAGACTTTCTAGCTCAGCATACTTTTAGGTAATGCACGGGAAAAGTGAAATTTGTGAAGAGCTCACATCTAGATACCATGAAGTTTCATGAGCCTATTACTGAGATTCTAATAATTTCATGTGAATTTTTCTCCTCCATGGAATTTTTTTTTCTAGAACTTTCAAGGAAGGAGGGTGAGAGGACTGAAGTCAGTTGAGTGCCTACCATGTCTGAGGCACTCTTCCAGTTGCTTTTATATACATGGGTTTATTTTATCCTCATCAAATCCCTAAAAGGCCTTGCTATTCCAAGTGTGCCCCTGCACCAGCTATACTGGTGTCACTGGTGTTGTTGTKGTGGTGGTGGTGGTAGGGGTGTTAGAAACGCAGAATCTCAGGTTCCACCTAAGATTTACTGAGCCAGAATCAGTAGCTTAACATAATCCCCAACTGATTTGTGTAGACATTAACAATTTTTAAAGTGCTGACCTAAAGCATGGGATCTAGCTGGGATGTTGGCTGCCCTTGTCTAGGGTCTGTTCTAAAGGTGTATCTCATTACTTCCCTAATTTGAAAACAAGCAAWCTGGGGTCCAGTGAGTTTCAGTAATTGCCTAGGGTCATCCAGCTAGTCGGGAGCAGAGCTGAGGTTTTGCTGTTGACCTAAACCTCAGCCATTTCCCCCTTATCAGAAGAGACTGTGCATTTTACTTCTTCCCCCMAGCACTGCCCTAAATGAGAGATGCTCAGGTCAGTGTACTGAACAGATGTAGGGCATCTGTAGAGGAAATAGCGTGAGAGAGAACAGGGACAGACTGGACAGTCACTTCCCAGGAGCTGCAGAATCCAGTCCTGAGCCYAGAAAACGAAAGCAGCAGGATCTGTAAATCAATCAACTTGGCTTGTGTAAAGCCACACCAGGCATTTTTTTTCTGTCTCTGTAAAGGGAGGGCTCCCCATAAAGTTCTGAACATCCCTCAAGGGCTGCCGCAGGTAATAACAAGGGCAGGGCTGGCTGACAGGTGCAGGCCAGGTCCTGGGACCTCCCTGTCCGCTGGGAGACAGCAGCTGTGCGACCATGCAATTTCCTCTTGGCATTGACGTTCTGTGTTCCCGTCAGTGTTCACGTAATTAGCAGCCTCTTGAGAAGAAGATCCCTTGGACTTCCTTGTCCGTCCTTGCAACACCTCTGCGCCCTGGGCTGGTTAGGACTAGGGGGTACAGCCACACAGGGAAATGCCCAAGGCATTTATATACACAAACATCTCGCCAGCTTTCACTGTTTGCATGAACAAAGGCCAAGGGCTGAGGACCCTGGGCAGCCCTCTGGAGGGTGATTGGCAGAGACAAAGGTCCGGAAAGGCAGATAGAGGACATGGAAACTTGCAAGCTGTTCCTTTGGGCTTTCCGGGTAAAAATGTCTCCAGAGAGGGAAAGAATCCTAGACTCTCCCACTTGGAAGGAACCTTAGAGGCAGGTCRGTGAGCCCAATCTCTGCCTGGGTCACAGCTATAGCACCCTGGGAAAGGCCTGCCCATAAGCAAGCACCTGCCAGAGAGCTGAGGATGGTCACCTTAGGGCAGAGTGTGGCCATTAATGAAACAGGACTTCCTCAAGACCCTCCCAGATCATTGGTGGCCTTGGAGGTCAATGGTTCAAAATGATGCTGACATGATGCCAGGCATTTGGTACAAGCTTTGGCACATTTCTTAYTTATTCCCTGTGAGTATGTAATAAGTAATTAAGTTAAGGACACTGCATAAGGTCACAAAAATAGTGCATGGTACTAGAGTATCTTGATTCCAAAGCCAGGCTCCTGATGGCTAAGCTCTAYGATAAGGTCTCAGTGCCCCTGCTCTTCCTGAGCAGCCCATGGCACTTACTTGATTTGTGAATCACCCCTTTGCATTGTGTGTGCCCCACATTCTGTTTGTTTCTAATTAAACTCTGCATAGTGGTGCCAAATAAATGACAGTGATAGACATATGCATGTGAACAAGTGGATGCTGGTGGAAGTGTCTGGGATGGGGGTAAGCTGCGGACAGCCCACCTGACACCTGTCTTCCTGGCTGCCCTGCACACAGTCAGGTGTGCTCAGAATCAACTTGCAGGATGGCATTGTCCAACACGTGGCAGGCAGTTGGGCAGCAAGTCAGCTTCCTTTGGCCCTGYCACCTGATCCAGGTGTGTCATGATGTAAACACTCTTGGCGCAGTCTGAATCCCATGATTATGCTCCTTCTCCTGGCCCTAATCATGTCCCCAAGTCACATGGTGAAAGCCAATTATCAATCCTCTGCCCAGAGCTCAGTGTGAGACAGAGTGCCAACAGGGCTTCTGAAAAGGGTGTGTGGGATATGCATGTGCATGTGTATACTTGTGTGCACACGTGTGTGCAAGTGGATGTGTGCGTGCMAGCAGGTGGGGGGCTTTGTGGTTTGCCTGCTGGGTGACATGATGTTCCTCTCCAGAACTTAGAATGAATCTCAGGGTGACAGGGCCTGAATGGCCAACCAGCCCAACCTGCCACATGATGCCCCCCATACCCTGGGTAGCATGCCCAATCTGTCCAGAGCCCAGGAGCTCCCAACCTCCTAACGACAGRCACAACAGTAGTAGTGCTGGTAACCACAGCATCTACACAATAGTATMTAATATTTGTTGGTTGTTTTCTATTGTTGCTATAGACTTTTTCTTGTTATCTCAATCTGCTGAGAGCTCAAAGCTAGAAGAGCAGATTAAAATATACCACATTCTAGAGAGAAACATAAAGGCCATGTATAAATGTTGCAAAACACCAGGGTACACTGACACTCCATCACCTCTACCAAGGAAAATCTGTGTGGGACACAGTGCCAGAGAGGGGAGCTGAGAGGCTTGGGGTGGCAAGTGGTCAACCAGAGGCCCTGGTGCCCACTTCATGAACTGGTCACTGTGACATCCTTAGGCAAACCTCCAAAAAACTCACAAGGCCATCCATCCTGTGAAAGCAGGAGCATTTGKGTGCTATAACAATAATCAAGAAGACCCTGACCCTCCTGACCTTGCCTCTTCTCCCAGCAGCCCGCCCCCTAACCCTGGAGGAACCAGAATCCAYGCTGTCCTTGCTGGGAGGAAAAGAGGAAGGCTGTACAGAGACCAACCACACTTGCTCTGAGCCAGTGGCAGGGAGAAACTGTACACCAGACAGGAGGTGGGAGGCCGGAATTTCCACCTAAACGTGACCTTTGACAAGAGAGAMGGGACAATCCTGCGGTGACTGTGTCTGTGAATCCTGGAGGAGCGAGCTGGGACTCACCCAGGCGTGCTCAGTCTTGAGGCAGCGGGGAGGAGGAGGAGGAAGTTCTGGCCTTTTTACCCCTGCCACTTATTTGACAATAGTCATCCTGCGTTCCAGGCACTGCGCAAAGTGGGTGACCTCATCTAATCCTAAGGTAAATATCGTTATGATCTCCTCTCTCCAGATGAGGAAATGGAGACCCAGACAGGTTAGGTAACCATGGTTGGGATAAATGGGAGAACACAGAGCACAGTGGGTCAGCCTGGCCTCGGAGTCCACAGTAAAYGCATGAGTGGCCTCCTGGGAGGGTCCTGCAGCTCGGGACAGCCTGGACCCTTGGAAGGCCAGCCTTACCTGGCCAACTTCTCTCTTCCTGCTCCCATGCCCCATGACTTCCCAGGGCCCCACCCTATGCCTCTTTTCTCTTCTTGGGAACTTTCAGGCCAGGAGCCACCTCTCCCATCCATAGGATGTGACAGGCCCATGTCCCTTTGTCCCCTCCTTGTCTCCTCACATGTCTTTTTTTTTTTTTTTTGTGGTCCTGGGGATTGAACCCAGGGCTTTGCGCATGCAAGGCAAGCACTCTACCAACTGAGCTATATCACCAGCCCATCCTCACATGACTCCTGAATAAAAAAATACTAAAGCGATAGGGCCCTTCTCAGCACTCTCACAGAGCACACAAGCCATGCCCAGATCCAAGCTCTGAGCTTCCAGGGTCCCCCCACTGCTGTGACACTCTGGGCACTGGAGGAAGTTTCCAGGAAGGGGACTTCCCTCTGTCCACCTCAGCTATAGGACAGTCTCTTTCCCCCATCACTGGCACCCATCTCAAGTCAGTCACCGCAGGGACTGTTTGGGTCCAGGGGGATTCTAGTGGATGGCGTCTGGGTGAGTGCCATCTTGTCTAGACAAGGCCTCCTCTGCACATCTCCTGCCCTGCTCAGGGTTGGGGCAACCTTACGTAGGAGGTACCAGGGAGGGATTTTAAATCTCTAATGGGGGCATCTTTTCATCCTATGATTGGGACCTGCTGTGTCTGTCCAGATGAAAGGCTGATGGGGAAAGAGGCTGATGGGGAAAGGCTGGGCTCACCYCAAGACAGCGGCCAGTCCAGAGGCTCCACGGTGTTTCCACAAGTGCTTATGGGCTTACTCAGGGCCACCTTCTTCATCTTCCGGAAGCCCCTTTACCCTCACCCATTCCAACTTCTTCCAGAGCCCCTGACTGCTAGTTTGGTCTACAGAGCCAGGTCTATCCCAGCTCCATGGGTCACCTACTCACACAAGCCCTGGCTCTGTCTAGGTCTTACTAAAGGTACGTTTGTGAGGATCCTCCATCCTTGAGGCCTTTTCTAACCTGTTCTTTCCACTSCCGCTGAACTTCCAGAAGTAAAGATGGAAAGATACTGCCAGGGGTGGGGAKAGGAGGCTTCGAGGTCAGAGATGTGATTCTTTTATAGGCCCCTGGGTTGGTCTCTGGTGCAAATGGGTGAACTTCCATGGGCCTTCTGTGTGGAACTCTCCCCAGTGACCCTGGAGGACAATAGAATCTGCTGGAAATACTCCTGGGTGTGGTGGGCTGAATCATGGCCTCCAGATAGTCAGGTCTTGATTCTTGGAAATGATAAATGTTTTCTTATAAGGAAAAAGAGACTTTGCAGATGTTATTAAGGATCAGAACACAGGGAGATTATCCTGGATTATCTGGATGGGCCCTAAATCCTATCATAAGTGTTCCTGTAAGAGGGCAGCAGATGRAGATTTGCTAAGTGCAGAAGAGGAAGGAATGGGTTCTCCTCTGGTGCTTCCAGAGGGAGCACAGTCCTGCCAACTCCTCGATTTCAGCTCAGTAAAATGGATTTCAGACATTGGCTTCCAAAACTATGAGACCATAAATTTCCATGGTCTTAAAACACCAGGTTGTGGCGATTTGTTACAGTAGCCACTGGAAAMAAATACCTGGGGTATCTCTTACTATCTTCTGAAACAGGTCCTCTGGAGGGGAAGCTCTAGAATCTGCATTTTGGACAAGTACCCCAATTCACCCCGAAAAAATGCAAACATTTAACTAATRGTCTCTAAAGAAGCACAATCATTGCAGGGGTTATGGGAGACAAAGCTCAACAATATAAATGGTATGGTGTTGCACAGATACAATTTATAAAAAAAATGTATTTTAGACTACAGTCCACAGTCCACAGTCTCTAGAAGTACATAGAAGGTACTTAAGAAATATTTGTCAAATGGGTGGGTGGAGAAATGGAGGTATGAATGTCTCTCTTGCAGAATTTTAGTAGAAAAGAGACTAAGATTGCATCTTGGTCAACTTCTKGGTTCACGGACAAGAACTGTAGGGCTCATGGAAGAGTTCATCTTTCTCAAGGCCAGGTAGAAAGTAGTAGAAACAGGAGCTTGCACTCCTGAGTTCCACTACCCTCTTCACACTGTCCCTTCTAGCCGCACTCTTTCCTGTTCCCATGAAATACACCGCTAGGCTAGACAACACAAGGCCATTGCTAAAGATGGCGACTGCCGCTCACCACTCCCTCTTACCCGCATATAGAATTCTCGACCTTCATTCCCAGACTTGATCTGGAAAATGTAATAGGCCCCAGGGTAGCGGGTCGTTGCTTGCATCTGGAAGATGTCAGCAGGAACGGAGCGTCCTGACACCACATCCATGTCTCGGAACAAGATGGTAAAGGGCTGGTCTCTGCAGCCAGGATTCTCGGCAGGACACATACAGCGGCTGCAGGGAAGAGAAACGTGTGARAACTGGATGAATCCTTTCCAGGTGCTGGTTGTATCTACTGAGGACACTGAAAATGGCGTAACTGGATAATGTCTCTACCCCTGGCTCTAGTCTAAGGCTGCTCCAGCATGTAGCTGTGCTCTGGTTCCTTGAGAATAGCATCTCTGGCCGTCGGATAGTCTGACTATTACGGGATATAAATGAGCTCTCTGGTTCTCAGAACCATCTGAGGGTCACGGAGTCCTTTACCTCCTAGCCGAGATGCTCATTAATACATTTTAAAGCTGCAGATGATGTTGGATTGACAGGTCTCAAGGGTCCTTTCGCATTCCACTGCACTAGGACCAGTCCATGTGGAATACAATTGGATCTTGTCACTTGATAAACAAGACCTCAGAACTTAACTATTTTCAATATATGATATTAGACATTGGAAATCCAACGATAAACAAGATTTTGACTTCAAGTAGTTTACCTTCTAATAAAAGAAACAAATCATAAACATAAATATCTCTAATACAAAGTGACTAATTTAAAACACTAGTAGTAATATGTCCTAATATAAAATTAGTGACTTTTATTAACAAAGGTRCATAGACACCCCTTGATTAATCCCTTAGCTCCCCTCTTCCATCTCTCACCTCATTCTTTTTTTWAAATTTTTAGTTGTTGATGGACACAATACCTTTATTTAATTTATTTTTAATGCAGTGCTGAGGAATGAACCCAGTGCCTCACACGTGCTAGGCAAGTGCTCTCCCTGTCTCACCTGTGCCTCTGTGATGGCCTTTGTCAATCATAAATCAGATTAGGTCTTTCTCTGTGGCCACCCATTGCCACTAAACTCCCATTTAGCCTCTGTGACCCCATAGGGTCCAGCTTCTGCCATTTTTCTGATCTCCTCTAGGGCCACTGTCTACTGGACTCACTGGGCTGCAGTGACTTGGRCTTTTCCCATCCCAGTAGGCACAGAGGTGGCTCTTGCCCTGCAGCCCTAGCACATGCTGTTCCCTCTGCTCTTCCACTCTGTTTAGCTCATGTGGACTCACCCTCCCCGCTCAGCTCAGGGGACATTTCCTCACAGGGCCTGTGGATTCCTAGGTCTGGACCAGATCCAACCTACTTTCTTTCTGTAAGTTTCCTTTTGGTTGTTGTTGTTGCCAAAACCCACCCAAACCTACTTATGTGACAATTCATTTAACATCTCTCTCCTCYGACTCTAAGCTCCCAAAACCCACAGCACCTAGCACACCACAAGAGCCCACCAAGGGTTAATGAGCAAGTAGGTACAAAGAGTTTTTAAAGTATTATTTTTTTTAAAGCTGCATCAAAATTGCCAAATCAAAATKTCCCCGGTGCCAAAAGGGCCACATTAAAATGTCCCGTGTCATGWAGAAAATAATTGTTTCCTACAAGAGATTTGGAGGAGGGAATGATGGCTCCCAGCTGAGGAGGATCACAAACAGCTGGGAGAGGGGCCTCTGAGCAGCCATCTGAAGGTGTGGATCTGGCCACGCGGAGATGGGGGGATGCCTTCCACATGGCGGGACCTGTGGGCACCCAGGCAGAGAGGCTGGACATGCTGGGTGTGGGCTACACGGTGAGCGCAGGTCCTAGTGTACCTGGCACAGGACACCTGGGCAGGAAAGAAGCGGGCAGGAAAGAAGCTGGCAGGGCCGGCTGGCAGGCTGGGCGGAGGGAGGTAGTCACCCAGTGTTTTCAGCATCGTGGCTGAAACTTCACGGACAACACCGGCTTGTGCTGCCTGTACCTGTCCCTGGCCATAGTCAAACCAGCGAAACCAGGAAAAGAAGTGGGCCAGAGCCRTCGGAAGCTCTGATCAACTACCAAGGGCTCTTGACCCAGCAGTYGGAAAGCTCTGTTCTAAAGGGTTGCTTAGAAGCGGGCTCTAGGGAACAGGYAAGGACACCTCTGAAGGACCTGCCTGTCCTGGCTTTGTCCTCTCCTCTGCCCATTTTTTATTCCAGGGGAAGCGCCCATGTAAGCCGTGAGTTCCTGACCTAGATGCCACATTTCTGGAGACAGAGGGTAGGATGGTGTGACTAATCCAACCYTTGATCTCCAGGGTAAGGGATTGGAGTTGTCAGGGGTAGAAACTGTAGCTGAATGGAAGAGCGAAGAGCAAAAGATGTATAAGTACATGTGTGTGTGTGGCGGGGGGCATAGGCTGAGGTTCCCTCCTAAAAGAAAAGGAAATGGAATTCACAGGATATCCGGGCAGGGACACCCTGTCGGGTGTGTTCATCTTGTTGAAGCTGTCTTTCTTTAGTTGTCTCCTCGACACTAATGTTTACCATCTGGTGATTTAGTAATGTGCTGACCGTCATGACATCAGAAACTTAAGTAGACAAGCAAAGAACTCTCTAGAAAACGTTCCTGCACCTCACTACTCATAGAGCAAGTCCCAGGAGCAGRAAGCCTTTGTTTTTCCTGGAAACTTCTCTGAAAGGCAGAATCATGGGCCCCACCCCAAACCCACCGCATCTGAACCCGCACCTGACAAGATCCCCAGGGGAGGCTTCTTCAAGCTACATGTGAGAAGCCCTGAGAGTCCTGTGTTTCCAGAACAGTCATGAAAGGGAAAAGGAATTCATGAACCGCGCCTGTCTGCTTGGTTAGCTTTCTAGGGAATCTTCACATAGCTCTGGCACGAGTCAGGGACTGGTAGAGAACAGTGTTGTGTGTGCACACATATGTGCAGACACACACACACACAAGTGCATAGGGCAGGCAGTGGCCCAGGTCTTGTGATGCCCTGGACAGTGTAGTCTTCCTCACAGGACAGTGCCAGCCCCCTGGACCAGACCTTCCTGGACCAGATCCTCCTGGACCAGTTTTCCACTTCCTCAGGGGATGCTGTGACTTACTTATCACTGATCTGTAGATAATTTTCCTCACAGCGGATGGGGTCGATGCATTTGAAGCCCCCTTGTAAATTGTAGCAAGTCTGCAGCAGGGTGCACGTGTGGTTTCGGTGCTCACATTCGTTGATGTCTGGAATGCAGGGAGACGAGAAGCTAAAGCAGGGCAGCACTACTAGGTGTTGGCCCCAGGTCACAGGGGAGAGGTGGGGCCACCTGGCCTTACTGTGGAGTTGCACTATCCAATATGGCAGCCTTTGCCCATGTAGCTACTCACTGGGCACTTGACGTGTGGCTAGCCCAAACTGACAAGTGCTGCAAGATACACACGCCAGATTTCTATGATTGAGTATAAGAAAGGACACAAAACATCAGTAATTTTCATATTGAATCCATGTCAAAATGATAAGGTTCTGGATCCACTGCATAAAATAGAGTAATAAAATAATTTTATGTGTTTCTTCTGATGCCTTTAATGTGGCTACTAGAAAATGTAGTTTCACAGTTGACTCACCTTTGTAGCTCACATGATATTTTTATTTCCCAACATCTCTATGGGGAGTTCTGGCTTAGTACTGGGCAAAGGAGGCTCAAGGAAGTTAATAATTGGCCAGTTGCTCCTGCATGGACCTCCCCCAAAGGTAGTGTAGGACTGGAAATAAGCCACGCTGCCCATGTGGAGAAGACCCAGCCCTTCAGTGGCTTGGGATCTGGACCCTTCGAGGGTCCTAGAAGTCAGGGGCATCAGGCATCTGAGGATCCATTCTCTAGGAAGTCAGTAGAGGAAGTTGAGCAAGCCACCCTCCAGACCACATGAGAAAGCCTGAGCCCTGGTCCCTGGGCAGGGGCAGGTCATCAGAAGTCCTGGTTGGGTCTGGAGCATTCTTTAGAAGGGCTGCAGAGAGAGCTACAGGGCAAGGCAGAAACCAGGCCGTAGAGGTTGCAATCTAGATCTGCAGAATTCATGACAGAAGCGTGAGTGGGGCCCGCATCCTAGCCAAAGGATGTGTCACAGGGCAGGGAGAGGAGGAGGCACCAGGCCAGGATCCCACCCAGAGTTCCACCCCGGGATCCACCAACACCCACTCACACCCTCACTCCTGCCACCTTCCTGAAGCCACAGAGGAATCCCAGGTGAAGGTGTCCAGATGACCCCCTGAGTCAGCCCCAGCCAGGCCCCCTGGATAGTCTTACCCTGGCAGCTTCGGTTGTCATCCAGCAGGATGTAGCCTGGAGGGCAGGAGCAGAAGTATGTGCCAGGCTGGTTCACACACTCATGCTGGCAGAGGAACTCAGAAAAGCTGCACTCGTCCATATCTGGGGGTGACAAGTTACACCTGCTGTTTATTATGGCAGACTAGGGATGGGAGCTTAGGGTCACCTACTGCAACTCACCCACTCTACCCGTGGACACAATGGCTTTACTGCGATGGAGTGGTCAGTTCACTTCTTGAACACTTCTGGTGCTGGGGAGCTCACTACCTACCGAGGAGGTCCATTGATACTGGGCAGCTCCAATTGCTAGGAAATCCCTTTCGACCCAGAGTTGGAATCTATCTCCTTCAAGTTTCCAACAGGTTCTGGTCTGGCTCAGCTGCACCATCCACTATTTTCTGAGTCACTTTTGCCCTGCAGGTATATCCATAGGAACCTTCATTTCTAACCTGCTCAAGGGGCTACAATTTGCTTGCCKGCTGGGGTTTCCCCAAGACCTCAAAAACATTCATGGGACTAGAGAGGAAATTTTAGCAGTGCCAGTTCCCCTCTCCCCTCCAAGTGGAGGCACAATATTGTTGCTAAAATCACAATTAAGAGGGAGATGGCTAGAAAACCAGGGGGTGAGAGTGACATTAAAACCTCACTGTATCAAGCTGGGTTCAGGAATGGGTACTTATAGTCCCAGGTACTGGGGAGCCCTYAGGCCCAGAAGTGCAAGGTCATCCTGGGCAGCATAGCAAGACCCAGTCTCAAAWCAAATAACAACAGACAAAAACGTCCTTGAAAGAGAAAACCCTAGGGGGGCTTAAGGTGGGCAACCACTCTGTGTTTGTCTGCCTCAGATGCTCCCTGGAACAGGGACACAGCAGTCTCCAGCCAGCCTGGGACCAGCCTGGACTGGGCTACCCTGGGCTGCAGAGGAGGGATCTGGGGAGGGACGCTGCCCACGTGACATCACCACTGGTCCCACAGCCCATGCAGAAGCAGGCCCTCCAGAGAAGCCAACTCTTCATCACACACAGAGTTTGGCAGCTGGACGCCCATTTGCGCCTCATTCAACAAGCACGCCAAAGAAAACATGTTTTTCTTGCATTTGTTGTTTCCCGAAAACTTGCTTTCACTCGTTTCCCCATGTGACATGTCCTCGGATTACTCTCTAACTCACAGATCACTGGTGGCTCTGGATCACCCAGATGGGGTGTCGGCACAAATGAGGCCACCCCTCTGCTCCACCATTGGAGAATTCTGCCTACCGCCTCTCACATCTGAGAAGAAAGCTCTCTCCCATCTCTCTCAGAGGTCGTCTGTGATGGGTATTGAGCCAGTAGCTCTGGGATGCTGATTTGAAAACTTAAAGTGGGTTCCAAGCTCTGGTAACATCTGCTTCCACCAGCCCCCACCCCCAGGAGCCCTACGAAGGCAGCCCCAGATCTGTTCCCAGCCCATTATCCCAGAGCATCCTAATTCACTTCTGTGAGGTTGGAAGGTCCCATTCAAACCTCTAGCAGCTGTAGTAGTGAACCCTGTCAATTCCTGAGATTCACTGTCCTTAATCTCCCAAGCCTTTAAGTCCCCACCTTGACCTTGTAAAGGAGGTATTATTACTGCCTGTGTTTTTCAGAAGGAAAAAAAAATGAGGCTTGCAGAGGTTGGGTAACTTGACCAAGCTCACAGATAATAAGTGAATAGGAAGGCTGGAATTCCAACACAGCCAGCTTCCAGATCCTAAACTGGTAAACACGATGTTGTCATGTCCTACTGAGCAGTTATGTTCAGGACTTCCAGTCAGTGAATCTGGGGAGCCCTGAGGTTGGGGTAATTCCCCAAGCCGGGTGAGCTCCGCTCCGTGCAGATAGGGAGGGTAACACCCACCCTTGCTTCCCGTTGGGTGGGGAGGGGCTGTGACCAATTCCACTCAGTTATCTCTGTTTGCAATTCCCAGACCTCAGGAGGAGCTGTGGCTCCACCCTCCACTGACAAGATGAAATACAGCCGAGTTTCTGGCAGGGAGCACACATTAGGCCATGTTCACTCCTCCACATGAAACCCCACCATGGTTTCCAGGATTCGCATGACTTAGAAAATCTCGGGGGCCGGGGGACAAAGGGACAAGGATAGGAAGGGGCTGGTGCTGCGTGGAGAGGCCACAGCAACTATGCCAGCACAGCGAGGGTAACAGAGACCAGGAACACGGAGATGCACATAAAAGCAGAAATTCGCAACAGCCAGGAATTACACTAATGCTTATGGGAACGAAGGCGTCCGTCGTCCTGAATGTGGAAGAGGGATTGGCCGTTTTGGGTAAAGTGAGTCAACTGAAAATTCTTGCCAAACCAGCAAGGATTTGAACTCCTTGAGGAGTCAGAAGTCTCTGACATTTACTTAGGGAAGATTAATTAACAGGTAAAGACACTTCAGTGCACCAATTTTCCTAAACCTATGACTACTCTGTTGAGTGCTTGGTGGATTTTTTTTTTTTTTTAAAGAGAGAGTGAGAGAGGAGAGAGAGAGAGAGAGAATTTTTAATATTTATTTTTTAGTTCTCGGCAGACACAACATCTTTGTTGGTATGTGGTGCTGAGGATTGAACCCGGGCCGCACTCATGCCAGGCGAGCGCTCTACCGCTTGAGCCACATCCCCAGCCCGGATTTTTTTTTTAACAAAGGTGGAAACTGAGGCTCAGGAAGTGCCTTGGCTAAGGAAAGCAGTAAACAACAGAGGCAGAATTTGGACTCAGCTCCATCTGGCTCCAGACTCACTCTACCATACTGCCTCTGCAGATGGTCAAAAAATATCTGTGGATTTGCAAGGAATTCTGGAGAAACAAATAATCCCATCTTGTACTGCTAAATTTTCCACACCTCTTAGTTCCTTGGCTCGGATTTCCCAAAAAGTGCCAGGGGGGGATTGAAATCTAGGAAGAGAGTGGCCTTTCATGGCTGAGAGTATTTTATTTCTGTTTCTGGGGCTGATATTTAATCAGTTTAAAGCTCTCTGTAACTGCTTAAGTGTGGCTCTGATTTTCCTGGCCCTGGAGAGAGGTGCTCATTTGTTTTGGGAGGCTCTGTCCCTAGGACACTCCAGCCCTAACTGAAGCTGTCAAACAAGCCTCATTCACAGCCTGGGTCAGTTCCTGTTACAGCAAAACCCAGGATCAGGAACCACAGGACAAAAGGATTTTCACGCCCCAGTGTATGGCCCACTTATTTTGAAAAGTACAGTGAAGCATTATTAAGTTGGACTTTTGTTAATTCACAACTGTTGATGATGCCGAAAGGGGATGAAATCGAGTTTACTTTAATTCAACATTTAAAAAGAAGGCAGGACAGAGAGACCATGAGAGAGACAGAGAGACAGACAGACAGAAGTTGTACATGGTTCTGTGTGAGATGCTAAAGAGTAAATACTAGTAAGATATAGTCCCTGTTTTCAAGGGGTTAATCTAGTAATAGTTTTTTAATTATCTGGGACATTAAAATTTAACTTTCTGGGAGAAAAAGGGGAGGCTAATAAGAAAATTATAATAGAGTCAACAAACTAGGATGACCAAAGAAGCACAGCTCCTCAGACTTGGAAGGAATTTATAAAAGATCAACTAAGCTACCACACCTATGTTCTCACCACAGATGGCTTAGGTCTCCTTCATTCAACACTCAAGCTGTCATTCAGAACTAATTATCACATGATCATTATGTGCTACGCCCGGAGCTGGACACTGATTACAGGTAGAGCCTTCAGAAGTTCACAAAGCAGGTACACTTACATATATGATCTTATGTATTCAATGTCCCCTCCATTCCTGGGTCACCATCCTCTRTACATACTCTCTGTGCTGGCCCCAGGACTTAGGTCAATACTGAGTGAGCTCAGTTGACCCTCAGACCAACAGGCAGATGGCAGGGCTCCTCTCTCTCATCAAACCCCCTCACGCCCAGATGGCAGCTGTGTTAGGAGTCAGRTGACAAAGAAGGTGAGGCTCTCCCCCCACCTCTTAGGAAGTGACTCATCTCTGTTTTGTGTGGCTGTGGAAATGTCCCTGACTGGACCTGTGTCCAGGAAATGAGAGGAAACAACTGTGAAGGAAGCCCTTCCCCTCCACCCTCCCCGCTGGCCCCTAGAACAGGAGAAGTCTCAATGCTGGGCCCGTTACCACTGCAGTGAACACCGTCTTCCTCAAGCTCGTATCCTGGGTCACAGCGGCAGATGAAAGAGCCATAGGTGTTGACGCAGGTTTGCACGCAGGGGTTCTCAGTTGCACACTCGTTCACGTCTGCAGAAAGCCAAAGGACATCACTGACCATTTGCACAATAGAACACACATACCAACCAAACGGAAAAATGCACCAGCAACAAAGTCTCCTATTGCCAGGGCACCAGATCCACAGGCACCAAGGATCTCTATTAGAGACCCATTAGATCACTCCTGCAGACTCCAGAGGGTTCACTGAAGGACTAGGGACTCGAGCCACATGCCCYTTCTAGGGTCACACGGCAGGAAAGGGGGAAATGAGTACACATGTTATATATGCGTACACACACCTGCCAGTTGGCCCCCTCTCCAAGGCTCACCTGCAGAATTTGCAAGCAACGCGTGCTCTTTCCCCCGCCTGCCACATTCCATCACCAATGAGCTCATATCTCACCTTCGTTGGTGCTGAAGCTTCAGGTGAACAAAAATCATGATGGTTCTAATGTATTTATTATGCATAAATAATCACTGATTAGATGAGACTCACACTCAGTCCTTACGACTCTGCTTCAGGACCACTGCCCCTTTTTACAGGTTCAGCAGGTTAAGTAAAGGGCACCCGGACTGATGGGGGATTCATCATCTTGGGTTTGGTGATGGTTTCATGTAAAAATTAATGAAATCACTCTCCATAGAGCAGTTAATTATATACCAATTACACACCAATAAAGTTGTTTCAAATCTTTTTGAAGATTGAGAAACGTGCCCCAGTCCACATACTAACATGGGCCCAGTTGGAACTGGAATATGAGTCAGGGGTCTTCCCACAACATAAGATTCATCCTATATGGYTCCTCTGGGTAGTGGAGGTGGAGGGAGGGGTCCCTTCCTGCCCTAGTGCTGGCTGGAGGACTGCAGCACCCCATCTCTCACGTTGCATCTGCTACTGGCCGAGTTTCCAGCCAAGAGATGCCCGAGCCACTTCAAAAGTCCAGTTAAACCTCTTAAAACTCTGAAGAGAGACTCAAGTGTTTTTGGAGGTAAAGGCTTCCTGGTGAAGTTTGAGGGGCTTTGCTCAAAGGAAAAATAAATAAATAAGCAGCCGTGTAGGAGGGTCCAGGGAGATACCTGTCTCCCCTGGTGCCCTTCGGGGGCTGGAGTTTCTTCTTCACGCAGGGTGGGGCAGGACCAGGCAGGAAAATGTCCATGCTGCTAAGCCACTGGGTGCAAGTCAGACAGGCCAGTGCTGGTGTGTATTAGGGCTGGTGTCCTCAGCGACTGGCCAGACGCTGGCCACATGGAGATGAATGAGCTCAATCCTCCACCTATGGCCAGCAGCTGCTTCTGAGCAAGACCAAAAGGATTCCACCCCCGGGGCCCTAACTGCTGTTCCCTGACAGCCTTTCCAATTGCCCTTCTGAATCCCGTGAGAGCAGAGGGCACCCCACTCCGTCCTGCTGGACAGCAAGGCTGGGCCCTGGGTTTTGCTCTCAACTCTGCCACCACCTGGCTGCCTGACTTTGGCCAAGTGCCTTCATTTTTCAGAGCCTTGACTTCCTCATCTGTGAAACAGAGTCACCTACACCTTCCTGCGACCTCAGTCATGCTACTGTTGGGGCTCAGTGAGACGAAGGCTTTGAGGAGGACAAAGTGCTCATGAACGCACAAGGTGCTGGGACTGCCAGAGCTCAGCAGTGTCCCTCACATCCCGTGCTGCCCAAGGCCCCGCTGATGTAACACCCTGGCCTGGTGCCTGTGTCCAGGCCTGAGAGCTGTGCCCGCTGCTTTATCATCATGCTGGATTGGGCTCGGCCAGGGGCGTTCACTGCTCTTTGTCACAGACCTGTCCCTGAGAGGGCTGAAGAAGCCACGTGACTTTGGACTCTCCTCTGCTCGGCTGCTCCTCAGGAGGTCCTGGACTTGGTGCATCATGGCAGCCTCTGAGCGAAAGCCTGGACTGGCACCTCCAGGCCCAGCCTTGGCGCCAAGAAGCCAGAATCTGCCCTAAGCCGCTAACTGTAGCAGCAAGGGTGCCAGGCACCCTCTCTGGGCTCTGGGGAACAGGAAGGGCCCCTGCTCCACCAACTTCCCAACCTCAGCCACTTCTGCTGTCAGGGGACAGTGACCCCTCCCTTGAGAGGAATGCAGTGGAGACTGTGGAACAATGAGCAGAACCAGCTTTGGAGGAGAGCTCTACAAAGCGCCCAMGACCAAACCCTTGAACTCTTATGCCTTCCTGTTTACCCAGTGATTTAGATATGATTAAAGTAATGGAGACATAATATCCTCCACGAGCTGGCCAAGAGCCTGCCAGCCAGCGCTCCCTGGAATGGTGTGACAAGGAAATGGCCCTGGGAAGCCTGGTGGCCAGTTCCAGACAAAGACCTCATTCTGCATCTCTGGCTCTGCCTCCGCCCTGGACCACGCTGCTGCCAGGGCCTGGAGGCCTGGTTGGGGGCTGGGGCAGGCAGCTGGGGGCCAGGGTAGAACTTGCACTAATTCCTTGAGTCTCAAGCCCTCCATTTGCTTCCTGAGTGGAGGAGGCCTTCCCAGTGGAAACCACAATAGACGCAAAGTTTGCTTTTCTTACTTATCAGTATTTGAACTGATCGTGTGAGAACCAGAAAGTGCCTTTGTTTCATTCTGATTTGGGGAATGCCGAGGAGTAGAGAGAGCACACCCCCCCCCCCCCCCCCCGCGCCCTGAGACTCTTTGCAAAGTAACAGGCCCTCCTAAGACTCAGGGAGAGGCCTAGACAATGCCTGTGGAGGCCCTGCAGCATGCATGTGGCTCTATTTTGTGATTCATCGGAGGTCAGGTCCCTGAGCACCCCTCTTTGGGTCTCAGGAATTGAACATAGGCTACGGGACATGTGAGAAATTTTCAGATTAGGTGAGAAAGCCAGCAAGGCCACTTTTGGCTATCAGACTCAGAAAGAGAAGCAAATCCATGACCACAGGAGCTCCTAGTTGCTGGATGACTGTGGTTTTTCCCTCCATAATATTCAGAGCTTTGTGAACCTTTTCACATAATCTCTGTTCAGGTCTCGGGTTTCTGTAAGCAGTGGGGAGGGGGTGGGTGACAAGGAATGGGAATACACTTTAACAACAGTGTTTCGCAGACACGAACTGTCAGGCTCTGAAGAAGACTGCTTCTAGTGTTTCATGCTGTGTCCAAGTTGTCATGCACRTCACATACCTTGGCAAGACCTTCCATCCTCATTGAGGGTAAAACCAGGGTTGCATGTACAGGAATAGGATCCAGGAACATTTGCACAGAGCTGCTGGCAGTAACCATAGCGACATTCATCAATGTCTAGAAACAGAAACACAAGGAGGTAAGACAGGTTCTTCTCACGGAGGCCATCCCCAGCACTGCACATTGCCAGCTCTCCTGGAGAGGGAAGGGGACCTGAGGCTAAGACAGTCCCAACTGGATTACAAGGCTCCATCTTCCTACCATGTCCCATCTCCCCAATCATCAGTCCCACGAATACCTGAACCTACCCTGAAAGTGGCAGAAGAAAATTTCTGCTCTGAGTGGGATGCTGAGCAAGAATACCTGTTGGGGTTTATCCAAATCTTAAACTAAGATTTATACAACATTAAGATTCAACTCTACGATTCCATATCACCGTTCTACTGTCTGGACAAGTTAGCCTAACGTGTAAGAAGAATCCACAGCATTGCTCCATTAACAGTCACCATGTCCACCCTCAGGAGCAGGAGCCAGTGCAGACCAGAACAAGCTGGGTACTCCTAGAGTGAGGCCTGTGAATCCTGTAACACCAAGATGCTGGAGTGTACTCTGCTCTCTCCTCCTGAACAACTGAATAAACACACCTCTTCCAAGCAATGGCTGACCTTCCCAGGGAGATCAGCAGCACTGAGGTAAATGGATCCTTTCAGCAGAGSTGGGCACTGTGACCACTGTAACATGCACCAACCCACGAGGAGCCTGGTGTCACTGGGAAAGCACTTTGCAATATCCCAGGTTGATGGGACAATGGCCATAGGACAGGGTGTCTTACATGGAATCACCAACCTTCAAGAGGAGGCATGTCCTCACCTATACAGACTCCGGCTGGGACCAACTGATCTGACTGTAGTGGTGACTGGTCCTTTTGTCATCCCCACGTCCCCCTAAACTAAACATATTCCCTCTAAGCTACCCCAGTTCCTTTGAAACCAATGTCCACCCTGGGCTCTGGAAGTCTGCTCAGAACCTCAGACCCTGTGCCCAGTTCCTATCACCTGCTACCAGCCCATCTCAATTCTTACCAATTTTTCAGCCTTCATCAGAGCTTGCACCCTGCTTGTGATTTTGCTTTATCTCTGAGTCCCAGCTACTTCTCACCTGGCCACCCCACTGCACCCCGAGCACCCTGCAGCTCTTGCTTGGAAAGCCCCCGGGTTTGTATGGCTGCAGATCCTCACCTCTTCCCAGGGCAGTTGGGCCTATCACCAAGGCTCAGGGAGGTAACAGAGACCTAGGGGGACTAAGAGGAAAAGCAGCCCCCACTGAAGCCAAGCCAAAGGTGCACAGAAAGGGGTGGCAGGCATCTGTGGAACTTGAATTTTGAAAGAGAAGTTTGGCCAAGGGAAAGCATGAGCCCTGCAAAACCGCTAGGAAAGTCTTCACATCGGATGTCAAGAGTGAGTGGGCTGCGCCAGGTGGCCTCCCCCAGGCCTCCACGAGTATCCCTCCCAACCTTCCRCTCTGTGGAAGAGAACACCTCTCCCAGGGAGAGGAATGTGCCAGCTGCCGCCATCTTTCAGACCAGAGGAGTGTCTGGCCCTAAGGTCTCTATAACAGGCCTGTATGTTGGGTTGTCCCAACACACCTTGTGGTGAAAACAACAACAGCAAAAAATTGGGGCCTGAGAAGCGGGAGACTTAGATATTAAACCCAACTCACTTTAACTTTGTCCAAAATGTTCCTCCTCTTTGAGTCTGTCTCCAACTCTATAAAAGTTGGATGACATAATAGCTCACATCCCTTCCAGCTCCGAGATTCTACATATTAAGTTCCTGTACAAATAACTCCCTCTCACTGATCTACTTATGTTCAGATCAGTAGCATCAAATTTTCCACTGGCGCAAAGGTTGGTTCAGATGCATGGGGACTGTCACATTGATGAATGCCCACATGTACCAGCTCTCCGGTGCATGCCTGGAGAGAGAACCACGCCAGGTCCGGGCTGGCTTATCAGGCCTCCCGGRTGCGTCAGACAGGTCGTGAGAGCCGACCCGACCGCAGCCTCCATCAAGAGAGACTTGGAAGGCAGTACTTCCCTTTCCTTTTTTTCTGTTTGCTTCCATGATGTTGTTTGGATGTGTTTCTCAGCCCCTCCAGGGCTGACTTTCAGGCAAGAGAATGATGTCTTAGAGAATTTAAACTGGCRGGACCTTTCCAGGAAAATGCAACATAGAAATCACACCCTAGAAGAAGAAATGGATGTGACAGCTAGAGATGGCTATGGACTCCTTCACTTGGCTCGGTGCAGATCTAGCAGGGAGGAAAGTAAAATAGCCCTCCAATAAAAATAAACAGAAGGATCACATCGCAGATGCCAATGGAGCGAGGGACAAAATTCTCCATCGGTGATGAGTAACTCCTTCAGAGTAAAAAGACACCACAGTGGGGGCGGGGGTGGGCATGGCAGGGGTGGCAGTGACGGGTGTTGGGAGGTGATGTCCCATCAGAATCTGCAGATCATCTGCGACTTGGAGCATCTGGGTAACTCAGGAAAAGTATTCCCTTGGCTGGGTATTATTTCTAACTAGGGCAGAATAACTCACTTCTATCACTTTCTGATTTAGACACAAACTTCCTGAAGGCAGGAAGCAGGGGTTCGTCAAATCCAACTTGAGCCCTTAACATGTATCAAAATCTACAATAAGAAGCTGGGCCTGGTGGCTCACACCTGTAGTCCCAGCTACTCAGAGGCTAAGGTGGGAAGAGTTTAAGACSAGCATGGGCAAGAGAGAGGGACCGTGCTTCGAACACAACAAAACACAGAAGAGAACTATAATAATGACGTGAGGGTGATGGTGACAACTGACTTCAAAGGGCAGTGAGAGCTGGRGATGGCTCARTGGTGGAGCACTGGTCTGGCATGTGCAAGGCCCTGGGTTCAATTCCCAGCACTGAAAACAAAACAAAGCAGAACCAGGATAAAAGGATGCTGATGATATCAACTCAAAAGCCTTCTGCCTCCCACTCAAAGAAACCATTATGCCCCTCAGGGCTCCCAGCTTCCCCACGTGCCCCAGTGAGCCATTACCTAAGCACTGGCCTTCCAGCAGCCAGTAGCCATCCGTGCAAGAGCAGGTGTACCCTCCCTCTGTGTTGATGCAGATCTGCGTCGGGTTGCACTGGTGGGAATCTGTTGCACACTCGTCCACATCTGTAACACAGAAGCATTCCAGACATGTCACCTAGACCTTCCTATGATCCCTGGTGCCTCCAAAGGTGCCAGGTGTTTGTTGGTTGAGGACAAAAGGCAGGAGATAATGCTGCAGGGTTGCACCCAAGCATCTTCCTGAATAGCCACTTTTAGGAGACACTGGTCTCTGATTAAAGGAGGCAGAGCTAATCTCTGATCACAAGAAGTCCACAGCAAATGATAAGCAAGTGGCTAGGAAGAGAGCACATAACCTCAGGCCCTCTTCTGCCACCCTATGCCATCACTGTCTGAAGGATGCCACCTTGACCCCAACAGTACTTGGTTTAGAAAGGCACTTGGAATTAGGCTTATTCATTCATGTGGAGCAGAGTCTGCTGTGTACCTACTGTTTGCAAGACTCTGAGAGCCACCACTGTGAACAGATCAGAAGTTAAGTCAATGTTTTCCACCAACAGAATCTGCTAGTCCAGTTCCTCAATCATATTCATCCAGGAAAGCCTTTCAGCTAGACTCCTGCCCCTTCCCCAAGCTTCACAGAGCCCTGAAGGCTTCCCCCAGAGAGAAAGCTTCAGAGTGAAGGTGCTTGTGCCCAGTTCGGCCCCTGCTCCTTAACTGAGGGCTTCAGCACAGGGATCTAGCTGTATTCAAGTCCATCTCTCCCAAGGTGTCTGGCACAGATTCTGCGCACTGTCCGAGCTCAGAACTGCTGGTTTAAACTAAAACATCCTCCTCTCCCCTCTTTCCCCCTGCTCTGCAACCTGGATCCTAAGATGGGACCTCGGGATGCACATGCTCACTTTGACCTGAAGAGGAGACTTCACCAAACATTCATGTGTTGGCTCACTCCATGCAGGTCCACCACGGGCCTGGATCTGCCCAGCCCAGTTCCACCACTTTTCCACATTGTCAGCCTGTGTTCACCTGCCTGCACCTCCCTGTCACCCCTCATTACTGCAGCAGGGTCTGCTCATCTATACCTTCTTCCCCCTCCTCCAAATGTGCCACTGGAGGGAATATTAAAGGCTGCAACTGACCATGTGCTGTGCCCAACACCTTGTTTGTTACTGTATTTTTTTCCACAGTACCTTTGAGGTGGACTCATGATCCCATTGTACAGATGAGAAAACTGAGCTGAGAGAGTTAATAAGCTCCCAGCCAAGGGCTGAGCTCAGGCCTCTCTGCCTGTCTGACTCCAAGTGGGATGACAGAGGGACCACACAGGTTCAGAAGGAAGCTGGCAGAGCACGCAGAGCAGAGAGGGCCAAACTGTGGCTGCCTTTTCCCCACGCCATCTCACAAATCATCTGCCTGCTGACACTTCAGGTTGCAGACTTGAACCCCAGCCATTACTGTGACCCAGTGTGAGCTCCCTGAGCCAGAGCCCTGTGGCGTACAGTGCTTTGCACACTCTGCACCGGTCACAACCACGTGGACATCTGAAGAGGCAGGCAATTGTCTCTTGGAGTCGAGTGATGCCCCGTCCATCACCTGCATGCAACAAGTCAACATTAATAGCACCAACCAATCCCCACTCCACCCCAAAGGGACTGGTGTCTGGGCCCAGGTGGAGCCAGCCTTCTTCCCTCTAAACAGAGCCCGTGCCACCCTGAGGTGCTGACTACGTGCAGACTTGAGGCCAAGCCCCAGTGAGTGCTCGGGTGTGGGAACTCCTGTCCCAGCCCTTTACATCCCTTCCAGCCCTGCTCTGCCCACCRAGCCAAGCCTCCCCAGGGGACCCGGTGAATAATACTTGGCCATGGGCCGCTCCTGCTCCCAATGTATATCGAAGCTTATGACAATAAATAATGCTGCTATCGGCTGGTGCATGTTTACATTTTCCCAGTGGGGAGTGATGGATGGCGATTGTACCCTGAGAACAACACTGCCTGAGGAATTTCTGCTCTTTTTCCTGCTTTGAGGGGAATGAAGGGTGAGGGAGACCGAAGTGGGTGAGGAGCTGTTGGAGAGCAGAGGAGCCAGCAAGTTCCCAAGTCTCTGTGTTTATGTAACTTAGAGTGTTCACAACATGCCACACAAACCAAGCACATGTAAGTGGACCAGACTGGGCTCAGAAGGGCCCGTGTGTGTACACACACACACACACACACACACACACATGCACACACACATACATGTGTGCACACACACGTATGCACACACACACACACAAAGTATTCAGGCCTAGAAACAAAATCTCCGAGGTTCACTTTTTCAAACACTCTCCCTCTTTCCTGAACTACAGATACTCCATTACACCTCAGTTCTCTCAATGTGCATGTAAAAAGTTAAAATTTTAATTGTCATGATTAATTTATACTGAATTGTCAATATATTTTGGGGAACTYAGTAAGTCCCTGGAACTTTCTGAACTCATATCCTTAAAGCACWCTGGGCCTAACACCAGGTCCATGGGAAGCATTCTGTTACCTGTCGGATGAACGAACACATGAACCATCGAGATCACTGAGGCCCCCGACAGCTTCTTCCCAGCCCCCGGGCTRCCAACGTGCACTTTAAAAGCAACCACCCCCCGCCCAAACCACTGTCAGCTCACACACCTGATGGAGCTCAAACTGGCCGTGTTCACACACTGTGGGTGTCCACACAGGACCGAAGGACGCCTYGCGCATTCCAGCTCTCGGCTGAATTGCTTACATTAAATACATTTGACTTAAATAACAGAAGGAAAATACATCGACCCACTCCAAGGACATTCTTTGGCAGGGACTCCTTTTCTGCATCAGTGGAAAAGTACAAGTTATGGCAACCTGAGCAAGCGTCATTATCCTCACGCGCAAACCGCGTCTGTTATTTCCTTTCCTGTGGAACAGCAAGAGTCCCCCCGAGAGGAAGGAAAGCTGGGTGCAGTCAGTCATTTACCCATTCATTCGCTCATTCATTCTTGACACTCTACAGGGGCTGTACGTTGTGTCCTCCAAACCTCCAGGCCATCTGGGAGAGCTGGCACCAAGCACAAGCCCTCCTGCTGGGACTTCACGGAGTGTCCTTCTGGGCCCCAACAGCTATCTGGACACTTGGRAGATTTTGTCACAGCACCCATGGGTTGTTTCTCCCTAGGTGGGACAATGTCTATCTGCTGTCCAGGTGACCAGCATCCTTGCAACTGGAGGGAAGTGTCCACTGAATTTTCCAGAATGCAAAAAAAGCCTSGTGTGGTCCAGGAGGAAGTCAGCTCTGAGGACTCACAAAGCTCTATCTGCGCCATCACTTCTTCCCTCAGATGTCCCCAGAGTGGCCTTTTCAATCCCAAACAACTGCTCTTGAAAATCATGGAGACCAGTCCACATATCATCTCCTCGAGGACTTCCCGTGAGGCCCCAGGCAGAGAGGGGTTCCTCGGCCCAGGACAGAGGGCCACATTGMGGGACGGTCATTGATAATCTCATCCCACTAGCTAGGCCTCACGTCCCCAGCAACATAGCAAACTTCATGTGGGCAGGTGTGCCGAGGAGGTGTGAAGGGGGCGCTGTCCTTTGGACGGGTGTGCCCAAGGAATGAAGRACTGCCTTTCCTTCAAGTCTAGTCTAAATGTCAGAGAGGCACCAGATGAAAGAACTGGCCTTGAGACATCACAGAGCACCTGTTCAACAATTCTGGGGACCACAAAACATACAGAAAAATCAGGCAGCCTTCATTGTACTCAAGAGACAGCACAAGAAGGGACCACAGTCCACCAGCCATTGCAAGTTTGAGCCCCCGGAGCAGGTCTGCAGCTGAAGGGCTGACTGGCAAGCCYCCACCGGAATCAGAAGCTCTCCAATGAGAACTCTGCTATATTATTGCCATTTTATGCCTTCTCCTTGAAAGTGGGCTGCTTTCCATGCACCCACATTTCCGCCCCATATAAATTGACTTCAAGTATGATCTAGTGTTAACTCTCAGTTATTACCTAAAAATCTCCACAGGCAGGCACAGTAGACTTAATGTACTGCCACTGATAGGTGATAATATGTTTGAATATCAGTGACATGGACAGGCATGCCAGCTGTTTGTTACATTTGAAGGTACATATCATAGGCACATGCAATTACATTGCCGCATTTATTCCTGAGTGTTAAAGAGAGAATACTCGGATTGGTTTCATAACCAATCCTAACTGAAATAAAATGTTCTTTAAAAACTCTACTAAACACGAATGGTTCCCTGTGTCATTAGTGAGAACAGTTTCTAGGCCACCTCTTAGCACTACAGTTTAGRAGGAAAATGAGCCCGAAGGATGAGACGTCCCTAGAAAAGGCTATAGGAAGAAAAAAAAATTAAGAACTTTGGGAACAGAAGGCACTGGCTGTGAATCCGGGTTCCCTAACGGATGTAGAACAGATTCCTTAACCTCTCGAATCCTTAAGTGTTCTGCCAAAGAAGACTAATGCAGCCTGCCTCCCCGGCTGCCGTGAGAGCTTGTAAATTGCCATGTGCAAGGGTCACCCCTGCTGCTGGGCCCCTTGTGGGTGCCTAGGAAATATTAGTTTCTTCCCTGGTGAGTGGCTGTTCCCAGCGGCTGTGGAAGATCGGGGAAGCTTGGCTTCTGCCTCCTGCAGGCTCTGTTCTAGAATTTACCAAAGACACCAAGACCACAGCACCAGGGCCCTGTGGGCTCTATGGCACGGTTGGTTCTGTGGTTCTGTCACAGCTGAAGCCAGAGGCTTCTCCCCCTCAACCCTAGGCACATGGTGGGGGATCAGGACAAGAGGGGAAAAAAGACAAAGACGAGGTCCATGCCTTGAAAGTGGGGTCTCACTTTCCACCTGTGAGCTCTGGCACCTAGGGGCCCACCTGTGATTCTAGAATTATCTGTAGCCAAAGACATAAAGTATGAGTGCCTTACCTRCATCCACAGCCCTGTGTTCAACCTCTACACAATCCCTGGTTCTGCCCTTTCTSTGCGCCGACTACATAAACAAGCAAGCGCTGACTTCGGGAGCCGGGGTCTGTAACCTCAGCCGAATGTCTCTGTTCTTGTGTGAGAACAGTCACGGGCC